TATTAGCGAATCCCTTAACAAATTTCCTGTAGTAAGCGCACAGCCCAAGGAAGCTTCTAACTTGGTGTTTATCCTGTGGTATTGGCCAATCGGTGATAGCTCTGATCTTCTCCGGATCCACAGACACTCCCTTGTCTGATACGACATGGCCGAGGTAATTGACCTGTTTGCGGAATAAGTTGCACTTCTTTGGGTTCAACTTCAGATTAGCCATCCGCAGTCGCATGAAGACATTCTCCAGGTTCTTCAGGTGGTCTTCGAAGGATTTGCCTAGGACGATAATATCATCCAAGTAAACCAAGCATGTCTCCCATGACAATCCCCTGAGGACGTTCTCCATAAGCCTTTCAAAAGTAGCAGGGGCGTTACAAAGTCCAAAAGGCAGCACAGTGAATTGCCAAAGTCCTGTCCCAATAGAGAACGCTGTCTTCTCCTTGTCCTCAGGAGCGAGCCCGACCTGCCAGTAGCCACTTCTGAGATCTAAAGTAGAGAATATTTGACATCCTCCCAGCGTGTCGAGTGTGTCATCAATCCTGGGGAGAGGGTAACTGTCTTTCTTGGTGACATTGTTGAGAAGGCGATAGTCTACGCAAAATCTTGTTGAGCCGTCCTTCTTCTTCACTAGTACCACAGGTGACACCCAAGGGCTGCTAGAAGGCTCGATGACACCATCCGCTTCCATCTCTTTTATAATTCTCTCAGCTTCGTCACGTTTTGCTAGCGGGAGTCGTCTAGGAGCCTGACGTATGGGTTTTGCATCTCCGGTGTCTATCTTGTGCTGTACTATGTTTGTTCTTCCTCTAGGTCCGCTTCCGTATTCGAAGACATCTTGCCATCTGGTAATGAAGTCCCTTATTTTCGCACTTTGTTGACGCGTCAGATCCTGACAGGTGCTCTCCACGAAATTTTCCAGCTCCTTCGGCAATCCATTTGGGGATGGTGGACATGATTTTAGTTGACGTACCACTGAGTTAACAGCCACGCACGTTCCGATCTTCACTCCTCTTTTTATTGCCACAGGGAAACCATTCAAGTTCATCAGTCGCACCGGATTTTCGTGCCCTAAGTTAAATAAGGATCTGGCGACAAAGACACCACGTCCAAGCTGGGTTTCACTGTCACTTCCTGGCTCCAGTAGAACACTTTGCCCACTAGTCCAATCTCCTTCGACAGTAGTTCGGACTATGACTTGGCTGCGTGCTGGTAGCGTTGTGTCTTCCAGTAGAAGTACGCGTGCAGCGATATCCTTCCCACGCCGAAGTATGACATCTTCGTCTCCGAGAGTCACTAGTCCTCTTGACATGTCCAACTTCAGTCCGTACTTCACCATTATGTCGGTTCCTAAAATCACGTCCTCGTCTATGTCGGCAACTAGTGCGCAATGTTTAAATACGCAGCCGCCGATGTGGAAGGTAGCAACCGTCTGCCCATAGACCTGAGCCAGCTGACCTGTAGCTGTACGTAGAGACCATGATGTTGGTGAAATATCTTCAGTCGACACAGTGTTGGGATTCAGGATGGTCATAGTCACCCCGGTGTCCAGAAGACAGCTTTGGAGACGCCCGTTCACCTTTCCATCTATGTAGAAACTGCTTGACTGACTTCCAAGTGAAGCAACTTTAACACTTTTCCTCGGGGCTTTCAAATCGTGGGCTGACGGTTGCCCCTTTCCATCAACCCTCCTTAGTTTTCCTATTCCGGTTCTGATGTGGTTGAAGGACATTTACTCCTGGGATGTCCCGTCTGTCCACAGCTCCAACAGCGTATCTGCCGGCGACGTGTTTTTAGCGCCTCCAGAACTCTTTTCACCAGCTCCTCGATGTCAAGTGGAGATGTAGTTTCTGCGTCTGCCACACGGACTCGGGCCTGACCTCTCACCGACTGCCGTACAGCCTCGAACTCCAGTGCCTGTGTCAGTGCGTCACTCAGGGTCTTTGGTCTGGCGAGCTTCACTGCCTGTTGAGTCTCAGGTTCACGTAGACCGTCGAGGAATTTATCCACCGCCAAACTCTCGTAGACATCATCCGTGACCGATGGATAGGCGTTTCTCACCAGGCGAGCAATGTCGGCTTCAAACTCCTGAAGTGACTCGCTGGGTTTCTGGATCCGGTTCCGCAGTTGAGATCGGTAAAGCTGGTCCATGTGTCGATGCCCAAAGCGCATGTCCAATCTCCTCACTAGTTCTGGGAAATTCTTCCGCTCCGCCATTGGCATAGCATGCAGAACTGCTAACGCATCGCCCCGTAGTGCAAGGCACAGTGCTGAAGCCTTTGTCTCCTCTGTCCACCCATGGACCATAGCCGCTGTCTCGAAGAGAAGCATGTAGTCCTCCCAGGGGGTTTTGCCATCGAAATGAGGAACGATGTTCTGAGGGACAGCGGCAGCAATGGTGGGCGCTGGCTTGGAGATCGTTTCTGGGGCGTTATCCTGCCGAAGTTCGTCAGTGCTAGCTGATGACGAAGGTGTGAAGCTCCCCGATGCAGCCATCTCCTGCCTTAGCTTATCAACTAACCTATCTTCTAGATTCTTTTCTATACAGTTAACTTTCTCATCAATTTCATTTATCCTACTTTCTAAACCATCAACTTTGCTAGAATATTCACCTAATTTGTTCAGCATTTTTGATTCTACATTTGACATTTTTGTCTCAATGCTAGCTTCTAAGTTTTTGTTATTTTCTGACATTTTTGCCTCAATATTAGCTTCTAGGCTTTCTAACGTTTTACTAGTTTCTGACATTTTTGATTCTAGTGTTTTAGTATTTTCAGAAATTTTTGACTCCAAGTTCTTAAGCATTTTATTGAAATCAGATGTTTCAAATAAAACGTTATCTGGGTCCTCACATGCATCAATTAAAGCTTGTTTAAGTCGTGCCTGAAGGGCTGATTTAGTTCCACTAGTATCTAGATCTCGTTCTTCTAATTCTCTCCTAAGATCAGCTACTTTTAACTCATTAAGTTTCACACCTTTGAAAGCCATTTTTATGCCAAACAATTAAAAAAAAAAAAAAAATTACAATAAATGATTCTATTTTTGACAACTCAAGTTTAACAAAAACAATCAATTGAATTTTACTTTGTAAACAAAATTACGACACAAATTACTAATATTTAATACAACTAAACTGTAACTCAATACTTTACAATAAAAATCGCCAAAATAATGCCGCTTTCTGACACCAATTGTTACGGGCTTAACAGGTTCTTTACAATAAAAAACTTGGCGATTTTATTATAACTATTTATTTACACTAATTATTCTATATTTACAGATATTACAGTTACCTAACACCTAACTAACCCTATCTAACCTAGCTAAAGCCTATTCTAATTTACAAAGATTCTACTTACAGCTAACCTTTACAGGATTTATCACTACTCTGTCACTACACTGTCACTAGTGTCACTACACTGTTACTCTCACTGTCACTACCACTGTCACTGCCACTAGCACTGGTCACTCACACCGGCGTGCCGTCGCTTCGATGATTCTCGGAAGAATTAACTCAACTCAACTGCCGTGTGCCGGAAGACGGTCCCTCATATAAGCTTTCCGTAGAACATTCGAGAGACTACTCGTAGGCTAGACAAAGGTGTTTACAGATCGCCGTGGAAGCTTCTGGAGATGTCAAACCCCCTATTGACGTAGTCCGTTGACATGGGTCTATTGTCTATCACTGGCGCGTTCGGAAAACCGTGTAAACAAACAGCCCTTTTGAGACGGCGCCTGCCTATTGTTGCGCGGGGCTCCTGACTTGTAACAGTATTTAAATTAAAAGGTCAGGATTGGTTTTTTTTTCAACAAAATACTATGTTTTAGCCTATACAATAACTAAAGTAGAGTCAACAAGATATATAAGTTTCATTTTATTCTTAGGTTTGCATTAACTCTTGTTTCAGTACAGTATATGAGAATATAAAAAACATATCTGTATCAAGCTTTAAAATTACTACGGGGCATATTTGTTATGGTTTCGACTAATAAAAATAAATGCAACAAAATACGGATACCAGCGAAACTTAATAGCTTACATATACAGAACATTTAACATAATACCTCCATCGTCCCCGTGTACGCTTCCCACTTCAGCATATGTTATTGATATGCTATAACGGATACTTTAGGACCCATACAGTTTATACATAGTTTGTATACGGTACACATAGTAAACGGTAAATGATAATGATCCAGTACCAGCAATCCTGCAGATTGTATTTTAATCGTAACCTTTGCTCAAATAAAGGCAAACGAGTTTACAATTATAGTAAATACAAACTGTAGCAAAAAATAGCCTTAAAAACTATCTTTGGAATAGCTGTAGCGGTCCAAAAACTAACTACAAAAATTTGTATATGTAGCTCTAAATTATGCAATTACACAACACACACACACAAATAATTAAATTAAATCTATCGAAGCCCTAACTACATATAACTACTAAAGTAACACCTACACTTTCTCAGAGTGATAACATATAAAAAATGCATTTTACTGTGACAGAAAAATAAAAACAAAGCACTTGATTAGCAGTATTTAAGAGGTTTCAATTAAAGCGAATCTAAAGTAATTAGGATAACACATTAGCCATGTTGAATGCGTGCTGTATGTTTACCTGTTGACATATAATTACAGCTAAACACACTGATTGTCGGGATAGCTTATGGTTGCGTGCGCCAACCTTTTACAATCAGGATTACTGATTGCAATAAATGACTGAACAAACCCCTGGTCTTTGTATAAACCGTTTCAATTGCTACCAACGGGAGATTTTAAAATTAAAAACCTTTATCAAGTTAACGTAACCTGTGTACAATTACTTATGTAAATACTACTAACGGTATTTAGCTGTATAACTTCAGTGTGTAGTTGGTCCACCTAAGTGCCGATAGATAATTCCAACTAATAGTGAATTTCAAGTATTTGTAATTGTTTTGTTATGTGTAATTTTAAACTAAAATATTACAGGTTTTGTGAATATAAACACAGTCGAAGGTACTTACAGGAGATGTGTATGGACAAGCAGCAAAACACCTGAAACACACATACGGTAGGCTACAGTCATCGTGTTATTTTTACATTTCTCAAATGGTACGGAAAGCTGGTCTGCAGTCTGCACTGGTTTGGTGAATATACAGGGTGCCCCCCGAACTTTAAAATCAGTAATGTAATATTACTAGACGAAAGACAGACAATTTCAATAATCATACTGAAAATTCCTATAGCTTAAAAGTACCCGTATACCCGCCATTTACTAATTTTCAAAAAAAATTTTTGACTTACGGGGTTTTCAGTAGGCCTAAATTTATATTTATCAAATGTCAACATCACTGCCAGCCAGTTGAAACAATCCGCTGTTTAAATAAATTTAGTTAGACTCTTTTTACACAGTATTTAAAAATTTAGTTTTATCTCTTGTTTATAAACAGATTTTCTGTTAGTATCGTAATACAAAATACTTGCTACAATAGCATTGTTTACCTGTGTAGTTTTTCCGTTATTTAAGATTTAAAATCTTAAAATGGCTGCTATTTTAAACCATGTAGGCCTAATTAAAAAAAATCTGAATTAAATTACAGTTCACTGCGAAAACCCGTTAACAAATAAAAATACCCCCGCCGCAGCAAACCTGCAGACTAAGCGAATTTCCATTTGACTGATTCGATTTACACTGAAATGTCTACTTACAAATATAACATTTATTCTTGATTTAAATAGAATTAGTTTAACAAGTACTTAGGTTTGCTGCATCAGGGAGGGTAAAACTGCTTTTTTTGTAAAATGTGAATAGTTAGTAAGAAATAAAAACATTTTCCAAATTTGATCAAGATATGTTCACAAACAAGCAAACTACAACAGTTTACTTATTCTCCATAAGAATAACATGGGAATTTTAAATTTACAATTTTTTTGAATTTTCTCCGTAACCATTAGGCGCATAATAACGCTTCAATATACTAAATTATTTGTTTTTTTAAGCTCTACAAAATGGTTTGGAAAGAAATTGCTAAATTTTATGTTTTTTGGGTCAAAAATGGGAAAAACCTATTTTTACCCCATAAAACCCCCCGTAAACCCCCGTTCCCATGGTCCGATCATGCTGGATTGCGAACTCGTTCGAAAAAATGTACGTTTACACGTTTGTACCAAATTTCATCAAAATCGGATAATTTTTTCTCGAGTTATCGTGCTGACGGACACACACATATATATATATATATATATATATATATATATATATATATATATATATATATATATATATATATGAATTTGAACGGATGGTGTTTTTGGCCTCTAGGGACCTCAAAACGAAAATAAAAATCGGTCCCGCGTCCAGGTCTTACCATGAGTACTACGGTAATAGCTTATTCCCTATATGGGAAATTCGCTAATAGCTTCGGTTTGTGAAAAAACAAATCGGCGGCTGTAAACTTTTGATTGTGGACATTTTTTAACATGATATTTTTAATTTGTCCATGGTCCAGAAATCGGTAAAGAGTTCAGGGACATCCTGTATTCAATTGATTAAGTTCAGATTAGTCTGCCTACTGTCTGTATACATATGAAACGAAGTTTTTGGGAAAGAAACGTTAATCAATTTTAAAGCGAAACTTTCCCTGGTGATCTAAACCATAAATCTTTACGAACAAGATTTTAAGCGTGCATTTCAAATGGGTCATACATTAATGGTCTAATCAGGATTAATGTCTTAAGAGTCTTCCTTAGTGGTAGCCATGTTGGATTTATTCCCCATAAGAACAATGTTAAACATTACATCATTTGTGGACACGTAACGGCGTTATTTGTTAAGATATAGCTTTGAAATTTATAATTTGTATTTTTAACATAATAGACTCGTGACTGAGGTTTTTGAATTTCGAAAATCCATTTTCATTTCCTTTCAATAATTAGCTTAATTTTAAGCTAATTAATAATCAATTATTCATTATAAAAATTAAAAATTGTGAAATAAAAAACGTCAATCTCTAGAGGACCGCAATTCCTTAAATTTAACTCCTTATCCATAATTATATGACAATTTGCTGATGAGATATTTGGACCCAAAGTTAACATTGTTCTTATGGGGAAGAAATCCAACTTGGCTTCCACTAAGGAAGACTCTTAACAGAAAAGTGTTCATATCTGAAAAATTCTGGAGTACAAGAGTTGAGGAAGAGAGCTGAGCCAAACAACACTTTCCAATTAGAAGAACAAGATAACTTCTTGATCTGTAACATATAAGCGGAGTTACATCATTGCTTTATCTTTTGATTTACCTTTCCTCTCTAACGTGAAATATAATAGATTGCATTGTTTTTAGCAATGTGCAAACTTGTTCAGTTTTTATTTTCTGTTTGTGAAATGATCAGTATTATCTGACCTGCAAACTAATTGGCAAACTAAAACATAACGTAACCGGTTTTGTTAATGTCTAATAATAATAATGAAGTACCATAAACTCTTGTACGTTTCACTGTTTAGACAGTTGATTATTATTATCTATATGTATCTGTCTTAGAATGATTTTATAAATTGCTATAATTGGGAGTTGTTATAAACACAATTGAGGTTGGGCCTACAAAAATGATTGTATAAAATATGATGGAATAGTATTTTACCGATTAAAATACGATTAAAATCCCATTCACAACCACGCAATATGCCTCAATGGCCGTGCGATTCCAATGAATCAAACGGGCAATTAACTAATAACGTTTTCAATTACAATTCAATTTGTAATTCATAACAAAAACCGGATTCGCCTGTTATAGAGTGTGTTTTACAGAGCATCGTTACACGATCTTTATGGAATAGTATTTATTATATACAAAATATTTATATCGGTCAGGCCATTGGACGGGTCTGCAATCTACTCAGTGAGACTCACTGGTACACCAATGGTATATCATCAACAAATTGGCGGGTAAACCGGTACATACACGGTATACCAACATATTGGCGGGTAAACTGGTACACCCAAGGTATATCATCAACATATTGGCGGTTAAACCGGTACACCCATGGTATATCATCAACAAATTGGCGGGTAAACCGGTACATACATGGTATACCAACATATTGGCGGGTAAACTGGTACACCCAAGGTATATCATCAACATATTGGCGGGTAAACCGGTACAACCATGGTATATCATCATATTGGATAACAGCGTGGGAGTCGTGGCATTATTTCTCACTCGCACTTAGCTAAAAGCTCGGCGTCGATGCGAGCAGCACTCGATTTCTTTGAAAGGCAAGAGAACTCAAAGCAGCTCCACCTGTTATGACGTTACTTTGGTTTTGGTTTCAGATGTAAACTACAGCATTGCATGTAATTTGGTTGATCTATAGCATAAAAGTGAGTTCGAGCATGTTTTATGTAGACAAAACAAAGGAATATATCCTATTTAAATATCAATTGTACTTACTTATACAAAATGTTAATTTTACTCAAACTTTAGTTAGTATATTGTTTCTACAGTAAGTATATTGTTTAGTTAAAAAATTACCAGTTAGAGCTTTTGGAAGTACCGGTATGTAATGATTTATTGATAAAAAAATTCGATTTTGTTAAATATAATTCTCTAATTCTCTCATACAGACATTTACTACACGTTTAAAGTCAAATACTCAAAGCAATGTGTTGATCTTAGGAATTCCAGCAAAATAGTAGTGCCAATCTAACATTACTTGTCTGAAATGATGCTAATAAATCTAAATATTTGATCAGATGAAGTCGGAGTAGGATAGGAATAGCATTATCTCATGCAACAATAAATCAACCACTGGTTCAATTACTCTTTGAACGGAAATCTATGGACGGTTCTTACTTAAATAACATAAAACACGCCAGGGAACTTTGCAATAAGAAGCAGAATGTTCATTGCATTTTCAGTCAAAGTGAAGTCACACAAACAGCGTATAAAAACAGTTCCCGTCTATAAAAAGTACTTTACAGTAAAACGCGTTTAACCAACTCTTGTATACAGTTTGTGGCAGAGCGACTGGTCGTGTCGACATTTAACGTTATAGAGTGATCACAGGAATCACTCAGCTAAGTGACACGAACCGAGCGATTGGATGTTATTGGCTCGCAATTGGCAAGCCACTGCATAAAATAATCTTTTTATTGTCGTAGGTACTGACATGAAACAAGCATCAGCTTAAGTGCAAGTCCGCTTTTTACAATGCGCTAGGGGCGCAAAAGGTCATAAACAAACCTTTCTATATATTAAAATACATATTTCCAGAAACTTACTTCAGTATAATACATACTAGTGTACCTGTTGCTCGAAATCGAGCAATTGCGAAGCATTACAGGTGACTCAAAGATTATGGAAATACTCACGATCCACACAACAGTTAGATATAATCAAAATCTTTTGTAAATATCTTATTTTTTTCAAAAAGCAGATCTTGTTTTTTTAATGTTTTTAGTGTAAAAGAAACGTTATTTCTATTTCTTCTACTTGGCTGTGTTCTATGACTTTTTCTATGTTTCCATTGTTTGCAAATCGGTTATTTCAATTATTGCTCAAGAAATGTAGCACAGTGTTAAATCAGTTTTATTTTTAGCCTATATCAAATTGTCCAGGATTTCTCGCTCTTTTCCATTGCAATTATTACACCAACCCAAGTTTCGTCTACAGATGCAATATGCCCAAGAATATTACCTACGTACAATCTCCAAGAAGTGGGAAAAAAGGCCAAAACCAACCCATACAATAGATATAAGTTAACTCCATAAGAAATAATTTTAAAAGTTACTTTGATATTAGGATTTTCCACTGATTTGGTAATAGAACATTATATTGCAAAACATGACACGATACAGAAGAAAATCAATTTTAAAATCAGAAAAATCCATTGCAAATACTGTACTTCATTTTGACAAATTCAATAAATCACAATTTAAATATTAACAGCTGTTGCATTAAAAAGTAGTGTAGAATAATGCATATGGTCGTAATGTAAACAAATCTGAAGAGGCAACTTTAAAGGCTTCTGGGGCAGAGCCCCAAGGGAGTTTA